AGAACAACTATATTCTGTACTAGCACATGTCCTGGTACTATTGTAATAGAAAAAGTATGGTTTTAGCAGGACCAATGGTCTGATTCAATGCATTAATTTTATGTGATTTACTAATAACACGACAGAACATCACATTGCAGCAGTTTTGCTTTTTGGGTCTAGTAGAGTGTCTCTCTCTAAGCTCAATAAATGTTCATTGAATGCTAAGAGAGTGCCCAAAGGTGCCACAGGCTAAGAAACTGAATTTTCATTCTATTTTGAGGTAGAGATATTGGCTTGAAATTCAAAAGATGATTAAGAGTGTCTAAAAAGGAAAGGATCTAATTACCACACTTACTATAAAAAGATTGTGTCTCAAAAGGAGAAGTAGGAACAAAGCAGGTGTTTACAAGTAGAAAAAAACACACAAACATGCACATGCGTACACACTCACACACTCACACATGTCTTTCACTATTTACAGCTGATTCATGTATCTGGAACTTCAGCCTTGAAATAAAATGAAGAGTTCCTCTGACTCATGGTCTTTATGCTTGTTGTTCTTATTTAGTGTTTTGGCAGTAAATTCAGATGCTTGGAAGGTCATCTTTTTGTCTTCCAACACTTGGCTTTCAGGAAGTGAGGATTTTCATCTTCTGTGCCAGGTGCCAGAAACCAGTGTAATCAGAGATCTGCTTGGCTGATCTGTGCAACAGGGAAACTTGAAACAAATATAAGTCTTTTGACTCTCAAGTTCTCCTGTGTAAAGGACTTTATCCAAGACTTCAGTTCTCTTTTTTGGTAGGTTGTAAACTACCACTTTTGGAATAAGTGAAGTATGTAAATATCTGCCAGGAATTATCATTCACAGCTTGGAATTTGAAGGCAAATACATGTCATTTTTATATTATTATCCTACATCCACATACAAGCTGAAGTCAGAGCAATAAAGTGAATTTACAATTTCCTATGCTTTGGATCACGTATAGCATAATCTTGAAGTGAGGTGGCTATGTGACAGGAAAAAGTAATGGAAAATAAAAGAAATATTTTAAAATATTTTTGAAAAAAAATTGAAACAGAATGTAGGTGAAAATTAATCTGGAGTAGATATCAAAAAGAAAGTGAAGGATATCCCAATAGACATTAAATAAAAAAAGGTTATAAACATTAATGTGTTTGGCAGAAACAACCACAATTTTTTTCTATAAAAATCATAGTTCCTTCATGTTTTTTCCTCTAGAATGCAAATAAGCCACGAAATAATTTAATCCAATGACTTGTAGCTCAAAATAGTGCCTTTTGGATGAAAATTATTTAAATAAACTATTTAAAATTGCAACAACATTTAACACATGTAAATGCTATTGCCAGAAGAGTCACAGGAATGAAGCTTCATCTTGAGGATGAGGGAGGGATCCTACCGGGAAGTATTTCACCGATTGTGGGTATAACGTCCCCGCAGGAAATCCACCAGGCCCTCATGGCATTCTTACTTGTTCAATAGCAGCCATTTTGCAAATATATCAATCCCAAGATCATAACCTTCTTTTGTGCACATCATCTTAAAAGCTTACTTGTAAACATTGCAATAGCTCTCTCAGTACCTCTGGGAAATCACTATAATGTCCATTTTCAAGATGATAAATACAGACAGAGATAAATATGTAACCCAAGAACGAATGGGGAGAGAGAGGAGAGCGGAATGGAATATAGGGATATCAAATTTCCAGTATTCTGTACACAGTGTTCTTATCTCCAAAAAATTCTAACGAAGACCTAAATCATTAGAATGGGCTATCAAAGAACAGAACACTGGCTTCAAATAACACTACTAGAATATTTGAATTACTTGCTAAAGCATTAAATTGAAAAATGGAGAACCAACAGTACCACATTAGAAAAATATTAAAGGTTGTCCAAAATTTACTTTTTAACAAAAATATATTTTAAAGGTAAGATATGTGGACATTTAAAATTACATTTGCAAACACACATGCACACACAATATTCTTCACTATGATTATGCAATTTACCTAATCTCTTTATTGAAGACAAAGGGAAACAGAAATACAATATAACTTGGAGCAAGTTTTGAAGAATAGCCTAAGTTTAAATACTTGCTATTTGTCTGATTTTTGAAAAATCTTGAGAGTTGGAACAAAGGTTCTAAAAGAATCTGAAGAAGGCAAAACTCTCTTGAAAGGTCTACTTTTAGTGGTAGCACAGTCATTTTAATGGCATCTCAAAAGAGAACAATAATGACAAATAGAGCCAGAGGACTTTATTGCTGTATATGCTCAGCTACTCCAATTTCCCTTTATCTACAAAATGTATTTCAAATCCCTCTATCTGCTCTGCTTCCACCTTGTTTTAAATCACTGCACTTGTTTAGGTATCCTATTTGGATGATTTCCAATAGCCTCCTAGCTAGTCAAATTAACTGCTTCTACTCCTACCCCACCTCAACTCACTCATCACAGAAAGCCAGAATGATCTTTTAAAACTAAAATATAATCACATCACTCCCTTTTCTTCCTTATACTTTTCACTGTGACTGCGGAAAGACCAAAAGGCTAGACATACCATATAAACCATGCCTGATATAGCCCTTGCCTATTTTTCTAGCCTCATTTCTGCCATTTACCACTCAGCCCCTCTAGGGTCTTGAAAGTCTGGCCTTTTTCCAACTCCTTACATGTATTAATCGCTTCCCAACTCAGATCCTTTGAACATGCTGTTTCCTCTTCCTGAAAAATTTTGTCTACCACACAACTTTCTTTTGCTAACTCCTAGTCATCCCTTATGTTTTAATGTCAATATTATTTCCTCAGAAAGACCTTCCCTGATTGCCAAACTAATTTAAATACCCTATTGCTTTCTTTCACAGCACCTATTTCCCCCCTCATATATTTTCATTCATGCATGCATAGAGGTAGGCATGGATGAATTCCACAACTGTTGCTGAGCACCTGCTGTGTACCAAGCACTGTTGTAATGCCAGAGAGGCATGATCCAAGCTCTCTTGGAGCCTACATTAGCTAACAGTTGTAAAGATATACTTATTTGTGTGTTGATTTGATGTCTTTTCCTTAAGACATCAAATTTTTGATGACATTAAAAATGTCAGCTTTATGATACAAAATCATAAAAAAGGCAGAGGTCAGAATTTGCTAAATTTTCCACAATTCCTTAATGACAGAGCTAGCCCTAGAAGCCAGTCCAAGCCAGTGCTTTCCTCGTTTTAGGACCACACTGGCTGTTCTCCTACATGCAGTTCTACTACATTTCCCAGACTCCTTTGCAGCAAAATCATGTGATTAAATTGTAGCCAATGGGATGTGAGCACAGGTGATTTAAGTTACTTCTAGACCTGCTCCTGTAAAGCTGCCTGTGTGCCGTTGTACGTCATTCTTCCCCCTAGTGGTGGCTAGAATCTGAGGACTCTGTGGTCCAAGGGTTTGGCAGAGCTTTGCATGAAATAGGCCTTGTTCTCTGAATCATAACATAGGGGGAAAGACACCTGCTGGTCAGGACCACCCATCCTGGACTGGTAGGTGAGACATTTCAGGATTTATTTGTCATACCATCTAACTTTTATGATACATGTGGCTTTTCTAATAACATTAAGATTTAGGGATCTTAGCCAAAGTGGCTACCAGTGTGTTATTCTCATTTTGAATCCTGACAGCTAAAGAGGGACCATTGGACAGTTACCCTTGTACTCACATTCACTCAAATGAAAATCGTGGGTCTATCTCACTTCCTCTCAGAAGTCTGTGAACCTCTTAAGAATAATAAAACTAGAAACTTGCAGTGGCTCACGCCTGTAATTTTAGCACTTTGGGAGGCCGAGGAGGGAGAATCACGAGGTCAACAGATCAAGACCATCCTGGCCAACATGGTGAAACCCTGTCTCTATCAAAAATACAAAAATTAGCTGGGTATAGTGGAGAGCGCCTATAGTCTCAGCTACTCAGAAGGCTGAGGCAGGAGAATTGCTTGAACCTGGGAGGCAGAAGTTGCAGTGAGCAGAGATAGCACCATGTACTCCAGCCCGGCGACAGAGCAAGAATCTGTCTCCAACAAAAATAAATAATAAAACTAGTAGCTTCAAATGGAGATTTGTGAAGAACAATAAATCACTTGAATATGTAGTTTGTGCTTAAAAAATTTGTAGCACTATTTTTGATAGTTCCTAAGTCAAATTGCTTCTAAAATAATCTGTAATGTACAGTTCATTTGAGGCACTGACTTGTGGCAAATCAAGTAGCTAAAAGTTAAAGATGAAGATTATTACCCTGGTAAATTCATATCATTTACTTAATGGTTCAAAGTGACTTTCAGACGTTAAATATAATCAGTACTGGATGTAAATTATGCCTTTTTTCACAATAAAATGTAAAATATAACACATATAGTTTCTTATTGTTTATATGAGCTGTATCTTCCTAATTTTAAAACTAACAAGTTAAAATGCTTACATCTAGAAAATAAATTTATTTGTAATTCTTAGCATGAATTATTTTGTTTATTATAAACAAAAGACAGGAATTTAAGTATTGTGTCCAGTTTTTCACTGTGATTTTCATCATCTAATTAGAGATGGTGTATTGTCATTTGTTTATTCTGAAGTAACTGACAAAATGACCTTTTAAAATATTGATTTAAAGGGTATAGGTTACTGAAAAGGCAGGAAGCACAATCAGACATTTCTTAAAATACTGAACCATAAAAAGAATACCAGCTAAGATAATCACATCCCATGTAGTTAGAAGAATAAATAGGAGGGGGTCAGGATGTATGTCTTTACCTCTGTTTCTTGATTTCTAGATTAGATCAGGAGACTAAGTGATGGAGATATACCAAGACAAAAACATTAGTAAACGAGACCCAATTTTTCCAAAAAATGGTTATAAAACTAGAAAATGGGTTAAAGAGTGGAAAATGATATAAGCCAGCTTCTAATGTCAAGACAACTAAGAAGGCATCTGACTTTTTTTTCTTCTCTTACAGATTTCTAGAAAAGACATTGCAGGAAATTGAAGAGACTCCCTATTTACTTCAATAATATTCATTGGGTATGCTTGTTCAAAGTCCTGATCAAGGAACCCCTCTCCATTTCTGGTGTTGATACAACTCTTCCAACCACCTGTGAGTCTACACACCATCTGTGTTACCAGATTCCTTCTTGAGATTTATTCTCTACCCTCCATATGGATTTATACATATCTGTAGGTTTTTCTATGAATTGGGCTATCTAGAATGGAAAGGAATACTACTAAAATTAATATTTCTTCAACAAAGCCTACATTTTCCTCCTTTTAGTTAACAGTAATTCTCTGTTACCTCCCCACATTACAGGGTGGGATGAATAACATTCTCAGCTATTGCCAACTTCATGAACAGGCTCAAAAAACCATACAGAAATCTTATTGGTAATAAATAACACTGCCCTAGTGGGTACATGCAGGGTTCACTATAAGTGTTTAATACTGAGGATGATGAGCACTTTTCAAATCACACTATTTATTTAACCAAGTCCTCCACCTAGCATAAAAATTGCTAAAGGTCTTCCAGAATCAGAATAGACAGTCTGGAGCCTGACTTTGTGAAAATCCTTATTCCTAAGATGATGACTCCTACACTATGTTGAACAGCTATGGAGTAAAAACATAACCTTGAGAAACTTAGGAAAATATTGAGTTTTCTTCCAGTGTAAAAGTGACCATTATGATCATTATTAAAGATCCAGTTTCTCATAACCTTACAAGTGTGCACAAAGGACTCCTCAAGGGCAACAACTGAAAGCATGAATTTACTATTTTGAAAATATATTCAAATACTTAGCATACATTAAAAATTTTCTCAAGTACAGGGAACATTAGAAAGAATGTGATGAGCTGTTTAGAATATTATGTCGTCTTTTTATATTTATTGTAATAATGGATTCATTGTGCAAAGGTCTCCACATTCTGGCAGCCTGCAGCAATAGCAGGAAACACTAATGCCAGATACATTTTGTATCCTTATTAGGCTGAAGAAAAAAGACTGGTTGAAATGAACTAAAAAATATGTTTTTCTTTTGCTCAAAATTTTTTTAACCCTCAGTGATGTTATTTTCAGATTATAAAGTGAGGTGCCAAATTGTGTATTTCTCAGATATTCTTGATGATTAAAAATACACAAATCAACAGTGACTAACCCAAGCTTCTAACTAAAAAATAGACTTAGAGATGTTTAAGTGACTACAAGTCCTTGGAGAGCCTTTGGCTCCCTAGTAAGATTTAAATGTTTTAATGTCTGTCATCCCAGAAAGCCTTTCAAAATAATGAGTGTGTTTAAACTGGAATCTTTTACAAGTTATTTTATTAGTTGCTATGCAATTTTATTCTCTATGTACCTCAACTAATAAATATAAAGATTACAAGTAGTCATAAATAATTAACATGAACAAAAACGTCTGCTTGATGATAATACAGTCGACCCCTACATGCTCCATGAATCATTCAGCTTTGTGGCTTTTTGGCTATCTCCTTTATTTCTGTAGTTTCACTCTCTCTATATATATTTCCACTACTTACTAAGAATTCCACTAGGGGGTGAATAGGACAATAAAAAGATATAAGTGGGCCACAATCTGGTAAGGGAAGCTTGAAACTACTTACTCAACAGGGATTTAGCTTATTTTTTTATTTAAAATATCAGTATTATTCCCATTTTCTATTATCCCTTATAATCACATTGGCCATGATAAGAGTGGTAGATAATTTAGAGAAAACAACATAATATGCAGCTAAAGAAAAATGTAATATTTGATGAATTATACAATTTTGTTCTAGCTGGGTAGATCTGGGTTATATTATATGGCAGGAGCTTATAATTTTATAGGTATAAAAGATGATTCTTAATGACGTATGGATATTTAATAAATCATGTAATTAAGGAATATACAATCTGATTGCTAATTACATAATGATAATTATATTAAGATTTCATGTTGGCATCTATTCCCAAAATGTGGAGCAGAAAACATAATCCCAGCTTTTAAATAAGACAGTTTCTATCATATAATCTAAAATATGTTTAAGGTTAAAATTGGGATACTGGTCAGATGCTTCTGACCAACAGCCTACACAAGGAAACTGGATCTCGGGATTTTGTTGCCAACATTTCTGGTTTGCCCAATGAATATATTCTCAAAACACCTGCAGAGAATAATAAAGAATAAATGGATTTCCTTATAGACTTGAAACATGTGGAAATGAAGGTAAAATCAGAAACAAGATAATTTGCACATTGCTTATGGGTCTTTTGTCATATTGTGTTTAAGCCCAGGAACTGGGGAAAGGCTGCTGTCATAATTTAAGAGCGATTCTTGAAGATTCTTATTACAAACTAAGAATGTGCTAATGCAAACCACATACTTTTAATGAGTGTTAATTTTGAAAATTAAAACTAACATCATGCATTCTTTTATTCAGATTTCAAAATATTTGGGTGTGTGTTTTACCACCATGAATAACAACCTATGGGCTCTAATTATAATTAGAAGTAGCAATGGTTAACACAGGAGAGGCCCTGAGGAACCAAGTGCCATGACACATCTTGCCACCCTTAGGTACATAGTCACTCTACCACTAAAGACTGGCCATGTCACCAGAATGTTACCGGAAATAGTTGTCAAATTCCTTTGTTGTCAGTTATACCTAATGCTCAGAGATGTTTTGCAATAGCCTGCTGCTAAGTTATGGAATGCTAGTTACTTGCGTGAATTCCAGGTTAGTATTCAACAAGCTTGGGACAGGGCAGTGCTGACGTGACATTTCTGGGAGGGTTTGAAGTTCTGTAACCAGAGGGATTTAACACTGGAGCCAAGGCAGCGTGATTCCCTAAGAAAGCCAGTCTGAAGTAAAATGGAATGTGAAAGCTGTTCTCCTCTTGATAGAGGAAGGCCAAGTTCCCTCTACCAAGGTAGCAGGATTGGGTTGTAAGATAACATTCAAGAGTCTTAAGTGGTAAAGAAAAGTGCTCTTCCTCAAATCACTGGCCTCCTTCTAAAGTCCAGATAACCCCAACAAGAAGGGTGGGAGTTTCTCAGACACATCCAGCTTCCAGTTCTGCAACCTTTAAGGGGGGACTCCAGTGCAGCTCCCAAGTGTCTTAATTCCTGTCTTTCTGATGCCACATTCAATTTGGCTGTAGGATGCCCTAGAGCATTCCCAGAATGCCTCAGAGGCTCCTCACAGACTCTCTCCTCCTTTGGAAAGAATGTGGTGAGACTTCATTAGAAAGCTTCTGCCTACTATAACAGTACCTCATATCCAGTGGATAACCAATACATATTATTTGAAAGGCAGCTATAAAGTTGTTAAACAAGAGTTCTGAATAGAGTACAATCCTTATATAATAATGGTGCTGGGAAGAATATTAATGCCTATTTGATGGGTTATGGTTTGCCATAACTTTGTTCTGTGTGGCTGTTTTTCAGGGATTACTTTTAAACTCTTGGCATACATGAAAGTCAGCACACATGTAACTTAATTTAGGAAGCTCAACTCTCTGGCATACAATGCTTTCTGTCCTTGCTCTCTATCTCTTTCCACCACTCAACTCCAAGCTGAAGTCCTTATATGAACTTATTTACATTAAAATAAATAAGGGCAGCTGGTCAAAACATAGTGCCCAATAGCAAAGAAAAAAATACAGAATTCCCCTGCTCTGTTTATGCCTGAAACATAATGTTTGGTTATCTGGGCCACATTTTGAGAAGCAATGATATTTGATAGGAGGGAGAGGGTTGAGTCCAGGGATTGGGGGAATTCCTCCAGAAAAGAATCTCATACTATAAGTGAATAAATTGCTTAAATGAGTTATTGATATTGTTCTACCTGTAGGAAAGAAGGTTCAAGAAAAGCATGATTGTTGTCAAATATTTAAAGGGCTGTCATAGAAAGAGAGAGCAGGCCTGATCGGCCAGGTTCCAGAGGGGGATGGTTTAGCCTGGGTAAACTGAAGAAGTCTGCAATATTCAGTTATCTGAAACATCTGAGGCTGCTATGGTCAGTGACCAGTTCCCAGTGCTGAAGAGGAGAATTTTCCAGTATTAAATTAAATCAATCTTATTTTTCACTTATAACAGAGTACTTAGAAATTATTCATTAAATGCTAATTACCACATTATTAATAGTTATAATTATTTTTAGGCATGGAATTTGATAAGTGACTAATAAGTTCCTGTAGGCCTTTGAGATTCTGTAATTCATTAGACAGTTAAAGACTTATCTGGCTTACCCTTATGCTCACGTATTATCTACTTTGTGTTCTAGAAATCTTCTAGATAAGATTTTTATTTTAATATTTATTTTTACTAGTAGCAACATTTATTATAAAATAGCACATCAATTATTTGATTATTAATAAAATGTGTACCCCAGGTTTATAGATATGTAAATTGATGGTGTCTAGTAAAATTCAAATGCCTTCCAAAAATAAAAGCAAAAAACAAATAAACCAAACAACATCTGCCACTGCCAATAAGTCCTTTATATGCAATGAAAAGTAGCTAGAAGTCCATAAGAAAAAAATAAACCTTTAAGGATAAACTTTTAAACTTTAATATGAAAATAGAGACTAGCCAGTTCTGGAGTAGGCTAGGTCAAGGCTGGAAGGAATATAAACTTCAAATTGGTTTTTAAAGATGAAGCAAAAAATTTAGCTGGACTTAGGTTCAAATCATGGGAGACACTCTGGGCAGTTGGTCAAAGAATAGTGCCCAATAGCAAGAAGTCTAAAAAGACTCATAGGACTATCAAGAGGTGGGTTTCTGTACCTAGCACGTGGTCTGAATTATATTCACATTCCATAAATGTCTATAGGATGAATGAACAAATAAGTGAAAGAATGAATGTTTGTGATTGGCAGGGGAGGTCCTTGCCATGGGCATTAGGTATTCTTGGTGAGAATGCAGCCCCTGTAAGAATAGAGATAGAGGGTAGAAAGGACAACAAGGGTCAGCTATTGGACCTGGAGCATCAATACAGAATAAAGCCAGAAGGCCAATTGTCTACAGACCAATGAGAGAGAATTGTTAATCTACAGATGCCTGTCTTTCTGCCTGAGAGCACTGGGGGAAAGGAGACAGAACTCAGTAG